CATCAAGCTTTGTTTAATCTAAAAAGGGTTTTGAGAATAAAATTCCCTAAAATCTAGGGCAGCATGTGAAGTCTTAAAGGGGTTCTTCAGCTAAAGATGTTTTTTTTATTTTGATTAGAGTGTGAAACGGTTAAAAACTAAAAATACTGTGTTCACACTAGGGAGATTTGCTCTTACTGTTTGTGTGATTGTGATCATTCAGACAGGAAGTTGAATTTCTCCTGTGGGACCACTTTAGCCAGATATTCTGCAGGGAATATTCAGGAACTGACTCCTCTAATTCCTATCAGATACTACCCCAGATCAAAGAAACCATTCCAATGAGATGTTGACAAGAGCACAGGAAATCACTCAGCATCTACTTGGCAAGGATTTCTTGTGAAACTGCCATCCTGTTTATCACTCTTCCGTACAATATTGTCCTCCCTCACAAACCACATAAGATGTGGCATCACATGAGGGTAAACGGGCATTTACACTTCTTACAATTTCAGCTTTTATAGTTGCATGCAGCCAATGCAAACTTTTCTAGTTAGCCTATTGTTTTTTAGCTGTTACTTTGCCGTTGTTATATCATCCAAAATGCTATAGTGTTATCCTTATCCCTATAATACAAATAAAGAATGTAAAATGTAAAAAAACATTTGAATATTTCTTACAATGCAATATATCTTTTGTTTATTGGCAATGTTTTATTTTTACTAAAAATATGCAAAAACACAATGTAGGGAATTGATCAAAACTGGAGCAGATAGAAACTGGAACAGTTGCCCATGGCAAAAATCTCTCTTCAGTTTGCTCAGTTGAGATTTGGAAATGAGAGATAGAAGCTGATTGGTTGCAGTGCAAATCTGCTCCATATTTTATTTGCTCCAGTTTTGATAAACTACCCCAATGAAAAAAAAAGTTAAAAAAAGTAAAAAATAAAGATCATTGCAAAAACAAAAAACAAAAATAAAGATCATTAAAAAAGAAAGAAACAATTGGGCGGAGCTAGCAGTGACAGCTAGCTCCGCCCACCTGTTTTCTATTGGCCCGGGACCTGCGAGAGTCTTCTAGCAGGTCCTGGCCAATGAATAATAACTGGGCGGAGCCGACCGTGACGTCAAGTTGTCATTGTTTAATGATAGTTTAGCGTCCCAAGGTAACCTGGGGACCCTGATCTGTCATTGAAACTGGGCGGAGCCAGCCGTGAGATCACTTGTGAATGAGTAAGGGTTACTTATCCCCCTAACCATTCACTAAATGGTTAAATTAAAGTTTTAAAAAAGAGGCCAGACTTTTGAAAGCATCCTTTAATTGAAAAAAAAAACCAAAAATATGTTTTTGACAAGTCTTTTATTTTACAAAATACCCCAAAAAATGGATCCACCGACTTAATCCAGGGTCAATCACGACGTCCAGTGTTGTCCACGATGACTCGACAAAATAAAAAAATAAAACAAGAAAAAATAAATAGAGATGCTCACGAACTCCCACTGCAGAATGGCATTTTGACAGATGGCAGCAAAATATAAACAATTGGGCGGAGCTAGTGGTGTTTACAGTTGTACAGCATCTGACAGGTGAGCCATGATTGGGCAAAGTCATCATTACTTTGCCCAATCATGGCTCTTACAGAGTACTGTGACCTGAATAGTTTTTAATTAGTTCACATTACTATGGGGCTAGCAATATAGAATTTTACAATGTGAATACCAGAATGAGCGCACTTCAATAGAGGTCCAGTGAGAGATCATTCAGAAAAAAAAGTTGTTTATATGAAGCATTTAGAATCTTTTCTCGTCTTATCATGAATATATATATTCTTATGATAAAAGTAGCAACATTTGTCAGATATGGGAAAAACGTAGTAAGATGCTCTTTAGATTGGTTAAGTCTTCTAGAGCAACTTTATCTATTTACAATATGAAAGTCTCTGAATGTAAAATATACACTAAATCTAATCAGATTGAAAAATTGTTTTAAAATATGTTGAATACCTGTCTGCAATAACCTAAAATTGGCTGTTTGAAATAGGGAGCTATTTTGGTCTTTGACTGAACTTTTGCTACTGTCTCCACTGCAAATAGAATGTTTAAGTGGCCCAATTATGCTTAAGGAAATTGAAGATATTATAAAGCAATTACTGTGTTCAAGCCACCTGGCCAAGATGGGTACACATCTGAATTTCAAAATATTATAAAAAAGAGGCAGCTTTATGTTTGACCTCATTGCATAATTCCTTTTAATTTCTAATAAGAAATTGGTGTCAGCCAATATTTGTCATGCTCATAAACCTGACAAAGATTTTGAGCTTATACCATCTTACTATCCTATCTTATTATTAAATTATAATTATAAAATAATTGTCTGTGGTGGCAGGTCAAAATAATAAGTGACTGGAGGTCTTAAACGCTATAATCAAACAGGTTTTATTTCAGGTTATTGAAAAACATTAGGCAACTGGTGGCAGTAATGTAACGTTATCATGTGCTCTGGCCAAGTAACTGAGCATTAAGCATATACAGTATATTTTCAGTAGTTAATGAGTAGGCTTTTAATAGTATATGTGAAATAGACAATTTGATCTGTTTTTTTTAATAAATTATGCATAGAACTTGTACACATGTATTTTAAAAATTCAGACGTATTAATGGGCGGCTAACAGCTAAATTTTAGATCACTACAAAGATTCTCAGCTAGTCCAATCTCCCCACTGATTTTATAATCAGACGGTTGATCCTCTCTCTGTCTAGCATAGAAAGATTGGGGTTAATTATTGGGGAAAAAAAGATTTATTTGTATGCCGTTGATGTACTAATGTGGATGCCTGCCCAGCTAACTTGAGCACATCAAACTACTAGGGTCATTTTGGCTTTTAAGACCTGCTCTTAAAGTAGTTTTTTTTTTTACATATATATAGAGCTCTTCTTTAAAATAGTACCAGATAATTCTACCATAAAGTTCCTTGTTTAGCCCCTTCGTGTTTTATGGGGTGATAATTCTGTGTTGCCCAATTTCCCTCCAGTATTGTCACCCAAACACTTGCAGGTAGAAACTAAAGGCAGCCATAACAACATGTCATGCCATGTTTTGCTATCACCATCAGGAATGCCACCAAAGGCAATATCATGCAGCTGATTATGGAGTGGCAGGAAGTGCTAAAACGCTATAGGAGATCAGCAGGACTGAGATACCAGAAATAATAAAAAAAAGTATTATCGAAAAGAAATAAAACAAAATGCTCATGATAAACAATGATTTAGCAAAGTGAATGTCATCATGTGTTGTGGTAATGTTTTAATTGGCACCCCAGTGCACTGCATTGCGGTACACTGCAATGAAAGTAACACACTACTTTGCATAAAAAATGCGTGAGTGTGATTTTTTTTGCCTGTTCTTGTGTGTTGACAGCCCATTCAAATGAATAGGCTGCTTTAACACAACACAAGTTAGTATGTGGCATCACGTGCGTGCACTAACTGGCAGGAATGGAAAGGTATGAAGGGGGCCTTAGAGTTTACATCTATTTTAAAGAAAATGTGCACTGAACAGAGTAGGCTGCCACTGCTATCAGGAATTCTCACTGCACTTACTGCATGCTTATTCAGGGGCCAGTGACTCAGAATGTGCTAGAGTCAAATCAGCCAGACAATTGGCATTGCCAGAATAAACTCAACAATAGTGTTCAACATATTTTTTGTGCACATTCTCATTAAAGAATACCCTGACTCAAGTTTGCCTGGGGCAGCATAATTTCTAAATGCACCCACACATCTATAACTAATCGTGTAAAAAAAATTATATTTTACATTTAGGAACAACCCAGTTGCCTACTTTCATTTCAAGTGTGTTCTAGCTTATATTTTATTAGATGCTATATGCAACACCAACACTTTCCTAAACTCCAGGTTTCATAAATACAACGTAAGACATTGCCACTGATAGCTATACAGGTGAAACTCGAATAATTAGAATATGGTGCAAAGTTCATTTATTTCACTAATGCAACTTAAAAGGTGAAACTAATATATGAGATAGACTCATTACATGCAAAGCAAGATAATTCAAGCCGTGATTTGTCATAATTGTGATGATTATGGCTTACAGCTCATGAAAACCCCAAGAACCCCAAATCCACAACCTCAAAAAAGTAGATTATTACATGCAATCAATAAAACAAGGATTGTACATAGAACAATATCGGACCTCTGAAAAGTACAAGCATGAATATGTACTCAGTACTTGGTTTGGGCCCCTTTTGCAGCACTTACTGCAATTACTTTTGCACGATATTCTAATTATTCGAGTTTCACCTGTATGTTTCTCATTCATTTTGTTAACTATGCAAACAATGCAAGTGCTCTTCCTTCTGAGTGATCTCTTTATGCATGCCATCAATAATTATGATGTTCAGAGAATGATTTAGACAACTGCTTTACTTATGGATCATTTCAGATAAATGTGCAACATGATACATGAAGAATTAGTCATATCCGCCTGTAAATCTAATGATGTGCCCTTGCTCTTTATTCCGTATTCATCAAAGCCAGTGCTGTTTATCAGGATTGTAAACCTGACCAAGTCCGGTAAACAATTGCAATTATTGAGTCTGTGATATATTGACAACATTAAACTTTTCAAGACTCCTACATAAAAGTGATCCTTTTCAACTTGTATGAAACTGAAACAGACGATGGCAAATGCATATTTATCTTATGTTCAGAACACTATCCAGTAATGTATTTGCTCGCTCTTACATACTTCACCCTGAATTGCATTTCTTTAATGTCACTGATTCTATGACAATTTCATTCATCCGACAAAAAAGAGTATATGTACTCAAATACTTATTTGAGTTCTTGGTAGATCAGAATAAAATCCATTATGATTATTTTGTCTGCAAAGCAAAATTTCCAGCAATTTCCACTGCAATTGAGTTGCTCATAGTGTATTACATTTACAGCTGAATCCAAACTTTAACTCACGGTAGTTTATTCCATTTTGTTCACTCACAGAAATGATGGATGATTGCTCAACTAACTGTAATGGAAATGGAGAATGCATATCTGGGCATTGTCATTGCTTTCCGGGATTTTTGGGACCAGACTGCTCTAGAGGTAAAGATCGCTAATCCTTACTTTATTTACATGTTCTCTCTATGTGACACACTGTGAACTTGGATTGGAAAAATGCTAAGCATACATTTGTTTTTTAACATATTTTTAAGCATTGTGCAATACAATGGGCTGCTTTCCTAAAAGAGTACAGGATGTCCTATATCAAAGCCCCATTTATAAAGCAGTGGCAGACTTCACTGTAGTCATACCACTGCTTTAAAAAGGTGAAAACACTGCATATTTATAAAGCACAGCAATGTGCTATACAGTTGTGCATTACACACATTTATGCTTGCTTTGGGAGTCTGAAACAAGCAAAGTGTCATTCAAATGAATGGGAAAAAAAGTCAGCAGGAGAGCAAAGTGAGGTGACCTGTCAAAGTCATGCGACCGTCCTTTCATCACAGAATTTTCTCTACAACGTTAAGCAGAGAGCACACTGTGAGACATGATGGGCTTCATACTGCATTTTATGAATGCAGGCAATGGCGTGGAGTAAACACACTGGTGTCTAGAGATAACTACTCTCTGTTATAAATGTGCCCCTCAGTAAATATAATGGAGCTGTCTGCACTTTAATTATCCAGTTCTGTGAAAGACAAATCCTGTTTTTATTAATTCCCCTGTACATGGGTATTCAAAGCAAGAGCAGTTTAATTGTATTTGCTAAAATAAAGTAGCACTCACCTTGCTAAGTTAACGTGACAAGTCAAAAGAATTTAAGCTATTTCAAATGCTGATTAAATTACTTAGAACGGATGCTGCTCCTTGATGTTTAAACGTTTTAGTTTCCTGCAAAATCAACTGGTCCCCTGAGCACTGGCCATGATATCCTGTGTTAGGGTGGTTCCTTTCCCTTGCAGGGTCCTATGTGTGTGTTATACAGCTGTGTTTGAATCACAAACACACAGGCACAGCATGGCCAGTCACTGCCCCTCCCCCTCTCCCCTCCTCTTTTCTACCATCTCCCGTCTCCAAGCTAGTAGATGAAGATCTGCTGGAAACTGTTCAGTTCCTTGTGATCTTGTACTGGACAGGAAGTTCAAGGAAGCTGAGCTGAGAGAGCTGGAGCTAGCTGTTTGAAATCAAGATGACTATAAGTGCTTCAGAAAATGTTTGCTGGGCAATGTATATTTGGTTGATCTAAATTCATTATTGAAAAACGTTTGAGATTTTACTACTACTTTAACTATCTTTACTATAGGGAAAATTGTGTATAGGAGTCTCCAATCATATAAACTGCATTTTAGTTAAACATGTAAGGATTATCTGCATATCTTTAGTATAATTTAGGCTGGCAGTGTCCATAATGTGCCACATATCATGCTTACTATGCTCCATGTGACAGCCCACTTGTTTTACAGAAATAATCATTTATATAAAAATGATTGCATAAAAAATGATTTTATTAACTTTTTTACATCAAGCTGTTCTCTTTTACTTATAATAAAACCTAATAATTAGAAATGCTATACATTTCCATTAATGGCATGAGCAGAAATAAAAGGGTATGTCTCTCTAGATCTCTAGATCTGTGCGGGCGTCTTTAGACGTCCGTTCAGACACGCCCCCTCGCACGCACCGCTGGGCGCGCGCGAGCGGGAAATGCCCAATATTTAAAAACAGGCAGCGATGCCTGTTAACATACAAGCGATCCGTTGGCTGTAGAGTTGTCCCGCTGATCCCGGGCTCCGCTGTGCCCGGTGCGAGCCCGGGATCAGCATGGCTCCTGTGTCACAGGGGATCAGAGGGAGATCGTTACACGAGCTCCCTCCGGTCCCCTCTCCTCTGCAAGAATGCGGAAGTGTTGTATATTACATCACTTCCGCATTCTTGTGTCTTGGAGAACCCTGATGTCTCCATAAAGAGGACCTAGAGCAATAATTCTAGGGCCATCGATCACCGATAACACTAAACTGATGAGCGGTAAAAGCTTTTAAAGTGTCACCTATGGCTAATTTTGGGTATGGTAGTTTTCTGTGATTTTGCGGGTGCGCGCAATTTTAAAGCTTGACATGTTTGGTGTCTATTTACCTGACGTGACCCGGTCTTTTATATTTTACCAAAAAACTGGGCAATAATAAATGTTTCCTAACATAACATTTTCAGTATTTTTTCATAATTATAGTAAAAATTAAAACCCCGGTGGTGATTATATACCACCAAAAGAAAGCTCTATCTGTCCCCAAAAAATGGTATAAAATTAATTTCAGTACAGCGTTGCATGACGGAATAAACGTCAGTCAAAGTACCACAGCGCTGAAAAATGGCCTAGCCAGGAAGGGGGTCTAAACACCTGGTCTTCAAGCAGTTAATTATAGCCATACTCTAGGCAAACAGCTAAACACGCAGATAAAATACATAACTGGGAATTTTTATACCTGCTAAAGGATTTGTATTTCTTTTTATCCAGTTCTGAGGTGTGCTCAGCTCTACCACACAGATCTATTAGGGAAGAAGACCTGTTATTTGTCTGCAGCAGTTCAGTAACTCTTACAGTCCTTTTGCCCACCCCAACCCTGTGACTGGATAGTGAAAGGAGAAGCAGCAGACTGATGAACTCATCTTTCTGTCTCCTCCTATCAGCATGCTCTATATCGTAGCACAATTGATTGACTCCTTGTGCTGCTTCTGCGTCACCTTGCTTCACCTGTGCTCTGCTTTGCATGGACTGCAAGGGGTTGGTACCAAGCCAAATTCAAGTACTTACACTGTCTGCATTAGAAACAATTGCTGATATACTAATGAACACAGAGCTGCATTAATGTGTGTGTTTTATATCTGTCTGAAATGTTAACACATGACAAGGGCATTGTATATGGCTCCTAGTGGTCCAATACCCAGAACACTCAACTCAGATATTAACCCCTTTGTTAACCTCCCTGGCGGTATGATTATTCAGGATTTTAGGTACCAAAAGCGGTACATTGTTTTTCAAGCAAATATGTTGTTTTACATTGTAGGCCTGTAATTCTTAGTAAATTGTGACAAGAAACATAAAAATAGATAGAAAAAGGACAAAGAGGGCACAGAGGTAGAAATGAGAACATAATGCAAAGTCAACAAGGCACATATCGCAAACAGGGCGGGAGGGCAGGAACCTGTCTTCACCCTGCGGATCCCACCGAGACTGGAATTTTCCTTCCCTGGGGAGCCGCCTATACCCACCTCACCGGACCCTAGCCAATCAGGTATGAAAGCAGAAAAAAACTGACTTTAAAATTGTATTTAAAAAAAAAGATATTTTATTGTATATATTTGTTGTTAAAATTACATAGTAAATATAAAATCATCAACATATATAGTTGTGCTCATAAAACTATGAGCTTATATGCCTCACATGAACCTGCGCCTCCTCAATATGATGTATGATAGATAGTTACACCTGATTATTAATGTATACATCTTATGCAGATAACATTAGTAAATGATTATTAAAATCAATGGTAATTATACAGATTTCCATGGGGAGGTGCAAAAATGCATTATCAACATTTTTTGCATACACACTAGTGCAAGTAAACAATAACACATCAAATAGAATAATAAATTAAATCTGTTTTTAGAGTAACGGTTGCCTTTTGTCATAACACATTACATACAAAATAAGCACAGGGTGACTTTTATAGATTCGTATAATATCGCATTGTAGTGGTGTCACTTTAGAATTCTCAGAGTCTCATTAAATGGACTCAGGAGAGGACATTCACAATGAACACTATGGTTTAGATTTTAAAATGTACTTTACTATTGACTTCCTCTGATCACTTAGCATCTTCCATGAGCTCTTTCTGCCTGTAAGGATAATAACTCTGTGGTCTACCACAATTCATTTGGCACTGTATTTAAGAGGAATGAAGTCATTTTCACTGTAGAGAGGGACAGCACAGGTTAATACACCTCATCCAAGCATCAATATGTGATGATTTATTTACTAATATAAAGGAGCCATTAAACAGAGACTAGAATTCTGAGGTAAACATAGGAATATTTTCTGCCATTACTCTGTAGGTCACTGGTTTATCAGAGGATACAAGAGAACAGCCAGGATAGTAAGAAGGAAATCAGTTAGGTTAATTGCTCATAAAATGTGCTCTGAATTTATAGCTTACTAATTACTTTAATTGTTAAGTGTTATCTTAGGTAGCTGGCAGCAGCCAAGGCCTTGTGTGCGAACACAAATTCAGGTTTATTTACAGCGTGTGTTCCCCTAGGACAGCTATAACCCCCAAGCACTGTTCAGATACTCACGTTAAGACCCACATTTGTTATACAAAAAAAGAATAGTGAGTTATATGGCAGACAGATTTCTTCTTTGAGCCCATTTACACCAAATGCATTGGGTTGTGCTAGGCAGCCTTGCCAAACACAGTCCCAACACATAGACAAGGCCATTTGCTTTGAGCCCTATTTGTTTAGTTCACACCACTGCATTGCGGTGGTGCGTGTTTAAAAAAGTAGAACATGCAGTACTCTTTTCAACACATCCTGTTGTGACACACTACACCGCATCATAATGCACTGTGATAAAAAAAGGAAAATTACATTTTATTTTGTAATTTTAATAAAGTTATACAAAAAAGGTAAGCAGTATGATGCATTGTAACCAGCACATTGCCCTGTTTCCATTCCATTACTGTGCACGCTATAGCTGCTTGTGTCAATGGGTCCATAATTAATTACCACTTTGTTCTGTCAGCCATGAAAGCCAAACAACCATTGCCAGGAAGTGAGGATTTCTCTTATTTCCACCATGTAAATGGCTGCCCAAGTGCTTAATAGAATACTTAGCTGCAATTGAAACCCTTTACGTTAAGAGTTACATGACAAAATACATACAATTTGCTTTTCATCCTTGCGTGTTTTGATTGATCTTTGCAGATTCGTGCCCTGTTTTATGCAGTGGCAATGGCGAATATGAGAAAGGACACTGTGTGTGCAGGACTGGGTGGAAAGGCGCGGAATGTGATGTCCCAGAGGAACAGTGTATTGACCCCACCTGCTCTGGTGGTCATGGCACATGTATCATGGGGATCTGTATTTGTGTTCCAGGATACAAAGGAGAGATATGTGAAGAAGGTTTGTTCTGGAATTGTGTCTATATTATCTTCTGTATGTACAGGTAGTGTAAAAAATTATTGACAAATATCTTGTTTGAAGAGGAATCACAATGTCCTTGCAGTATGTTTATATTACAGAATTGTATACTACTAATAAAAAAACAAGAAACTTTAAAAAGTGTATAGTATCCATAAGTAGAAGTATAAATGCAATATTACATCTTGGCACTGCACCTTTCCTACACATCAAATGCGCAATCTTCCAAAATGGTATCGCTCCAGGTGAACCTACAGCTCCTTGTTACTGGCTATAGGTGCTCAGGCCAAGCAGGACCTATCTGCTTCCTAATAGATGCTTCCTAAAAGATGAGTGCATAAAATAGGCAAATACTGCTGTAATTTATTTATTTTTATTAAAAAAGCTTTATTATTCTTAGAGGATGAGACTTCCTTCCAGGCGGGTACCCCCTGTTATGTATTCACAAAAAAGTTATATAGTAAATAAAATCACACACCCAGTCACATTCAACCCCTCTTTTACCTGCCAAGCCAGGCTACATGCCTGAATAAGGGTCCAGTATAGATTTGGGGAGGACCCCACAGTTTTTTGTTTTTGTTCTGAATGACTGGATAGAATCTGGTATGGATTATTGAAGCCCCCATCAAGTGAGCATTCACCTTCCTAATGTCCCATAATGTGAATGCAACAACAACCATGTTGTCCAGTGATGTAGACCCCACGTTAATTATGGTTAATGAATGCCCTGATGAACTGTGACATGACGACCTTTACCATGACCATCCTTTCCTGCTGATAGTTTTATCACAAATGACAGTTCCCCTAGGCTCTGCTGGAATGTCAAAACAGCACTTTGGAGTTTGGGTGATGTCATTGGCCAAATATGGTAGTGCTACCTCTAATAAGGAAATTACTTCTACGTTATTGGAGAATCAGACGGGAGGCCAAATCTGGCAATTTAGTTTGCCTCTTCACCAAACTGTGACTAATCTGGATTCAGGTCAAACTTATGGTTGGCTTGAACCTGAAGGTAATTGCTTGTAATTATTATTCTGTAAAGGTTTTTTTTTTTTTTTTTGCTGCTATGCCTAACTATATCAAATGTGTTGAAAAGTGGAATTTAGTAATAGGATTAAAATCTAAAAAGTAGTTAATAATATTCCTAGTATTGTATTTGAACAAATGTCTTTTTCCATGATATAGAGAATTGCCTGGATCCAACATGTTCTGACCACGGAGTGTGTGTACATGGGGAATGCCACTGCACTGCAGGCTGGGGAGGTGTAAACTGTGAGAATGCCTTGGCCTTGTGTCAGGAGCAGTGCTCAGGTCATGGGACATTCCTGATGGACAGTGGTATCTGCAGCTGTGAGCCACAGTGGACCGGAGCAGACTGCTCTACAGGTAAGCATGATACTGATTAAATGTAGAATTTGTTATAATTTACTAATATATTTTTATAATTAAACTTCCCATGCTGACTCAGTCATTGCACATCAAGCATGTGCTGCATATATAGCTAGAATTAGACAATATAAATATATACACTACCCCATTTTCAAAAATGTTTTCCATATTTTTTACCTAACAGAGTTATACTAAAGTTTATAGATTTGTTGGCTACACCAAGTGGAAACACAGAAAAAAAACCTTTTGAGGTGGTTTTAACATACTATAGAGAGTAGTCCCCTGAGCAATCAAATTAGACCATTACTTTGCCTTTCCAAATATAAGTTTGCAGCAGGCAGATCCAGAAAGCTAAAACAGACCACATGGTCACAGAATGTCGTGGATTTTCAATCTGTGATGAGGCACATAAAGGAACCAACTCAGTATGTGGCAACCAGTGAACCACAGCCTGATCAGCAGACATAAAATTAAAAAAGAAAAAACAAATAAATCACTGATAAGTAATAAATAGAACACATATTTATAATGTGTGTTACTGTGTGCATTTTTACATGTGTCTCTTGTTTTATTATGCAGTTATGATTGTTCAAATGGATCCATTTGTAAATGCCTTTGCATGGTTTCAATAAGTATTGTTATGTGTTTTATTTTTTTTTTAAATAGAGATACAGATGTGCTTAAAATATATATAAAAATCCACAGTATATGCTTTGCTGTACTTTTGTTTGAATGCGCCTGTCTAACATGCACTAAGGCATTATACATGATGTTTATCAGTGTCCTATTTCCATGTATTGTTTTTTCCCACCTCTTTATCAACAGTCATCAGTGGCTGTCCCTTTAATTGTTTAATTTTATTGTATAATTAAAGCTAATGTGAACTCCAAGGGAGAGATAGATTTGGCACTAAAAAATGTGTATACTCTGCTGGAAATTTCATAAAAGGGGAGTTTGGTTTAAAAGTAATTTGGCTTATAACATTTTTAGCAGACACTTTTTCTTAGCTGTCGATAATGTAATAAGGATATAGAGTCAAATTTTAAATGCCAACTGTGTGCCCATTTGGGAGAGTTCTCTGTATGTTCTGTATATTTGAAGAGTGTCAGACAGGAACAGGAAGTGAGGGGAAATGTTCTAATAAAAGGCAGACACAGCAGTAACATATTTTTATTGGGAAAACCTAGAAAGCGTTAGAACATACTTACATCCTGCCCAATTGATGAGTGAATAAATCATCTTTAACAGGGACACAGATTGCATTTAAAACCCAATAACAAGTATGGCCATTCCTTAAAAAATAACAAATAAAGTTTTAGCAGAAGTTAGGCTTTAATCATATGCTATTGCATTGTATTATGTTCTCTAATGGGCAATTAGATAAGCATTATTATGTAAGTCCGTGTGAAACCTCTGTATCATTAGAGTATAATGTCTGAGTTCCCCTGAGGCTTATGGGGTTAGAAGCATCAGGATATCTTCAGGAATCCCTGTCAGGAGAAAAGATTTTGCTGTGTCATCATCCCAGTTTATGGCCCTCCGATCTTACAATTACTGATGTGCAACATTTAAGGGAGCACACACCATTGACCACCAACATTCAAAGGGGCACTCACTACGGACCGCCATCATAAGGAAGCACTAACTCCTGACCGCTAAAATCTGCAAGCTGTTCCGACACCTGCATTATGTTGGCTTAAGTGTATACACCATGCTGTAATCTAAAATAAACAATCTGGGGGGCTTTTTAAGGCCTTGAGAAATGTGATAGGCAATCAGAACATCAGTTTTTTATCGAAATAAAAAATTAAAAAGTGGTTATTAACCACTTCAAGACCAGCATGTTAACCTCCTTTCATTACTAGGCCTTTTTCCCGTTTTCAGTGCTGTGACAGTTTGACTGAGAATTACTCTGTCATGCAACACTGTGCCCAAATGAATTATCATTTCTTATGTCTTTAATTTTGTTTTCCTTATTGTTATAAAACATAGCAAATAAAAATGTTTGGACATATCCCCCCCCCCAAAAAAAAATTAACCCAAGTAGACACCCCAAGGTGATCTGATTTTTGATGCAATTTTTTGGAATTGAACAAACATGCTGGTATTGAGGGGGTTAAAACAAGGAACTTGGATATGGTGAACCAGGTACATTAAATTTACAGGTCGTACACACAGGGAGGTGGAGGTGAAGGGGTCAATGGGGTTAATGTACATGTCATGTACAGTGGGAAGGTGGAGATGAAGAGGTTATTGTACAGATGTGTAGGATATGTGAAGGGGTTAAAATACAGCTCAGAGAAAGAATGAAGCTGACATATACTATAAAGGAGAGGGGTGAAATAGTAAAAATCCGGACACTTTTTTATTTTCTACTGCTGCAGCTTGCTTTAACTAGAACTAATGAATGAATGATTCACCCATTAATTAGTTTGTTTACTATACCCTGCCTCTGCTTCAAGAGGATGAAGAGGCACCGTAGCCACACCCTCCGTCCACAATGCGATCGCCCGCACGGGATCGCAAGGCACATTGTGCCTGCAGTAAAGGTGCCCATACACCTTACAACAATTGCACAAAATCTGTCGTGATTTTCGTACGAAATCACAAACGAAAAGCGTGCGATAATCGTTAGGTGCATGGGCATCTTAAGTGCTATATGCCAATCTGTAAAAAGAGAGGCATTGTTGTTTGTTGAGGCCTAGTCTGCTGGGGAGAGGTGTTTGAGCACTGGAGCACTTTGATTCATGGTGGAGAGGTTTAACTGTTTGGAGAAGTTTTAGAACTAATATAGGATGTATTAATCTTCATTAATTATACACCTTGTCACATGCACTTTCACAGTGGTGTTTATTTTATGTAATGCATGGTTTCTGTCCGCAGCGTCTTTCTTATTATTATATTGTGTTGTATATTTTGGGTATATTGAATTGAAGGCTGCAACAATATAGCACATTGTACTATATGTGGGGGGAATTGTAGGTCTGTAGCGCTGAGTTGGGTGGTTATATGAATGTAAAACCTCACATTAAAAATATTAATTGAAATACCAGGTATCCTACAACCAAATTTAAAAAAAGGCAAGCTCCAGCCTGTCTGATTGTTTCCTCTATTATCTGAAATTAAAAATGAAAGTTAATGAAAAATAAAATATGATTTTTCATTAGTATGATCGGGTACAATCAAACAACTAGCCTGAAATACAAGGGCATCGGTTACAGAAAAAGAAGCAATATCTTCCATTAAATATATGATCGACAGAGATTTCTGTTCAACTGAAAGATGGCATATCATTACTAAGCGTTCCAATATGTGTTCCCTGTTCTTGAGTTCTGAGGAGTTAGCACAATGTTCTCTAGTATTGTTACATAACAGCTAAGTTGTAATTAGCAGTCGGGGAAGTAAAACAGTGAGACTTTTGACAACTTGACAAGTTTGCATTAGTCTGTGTGAATAAATAAGTGCACGCTCAGCAAGTTGCATTTCTATTGACTTCCAGCTCATTAAAGCATTTCAGTTCTCTTCCAGTTCTGGAAATGCATTTTGTTTCAAAAGAAAAGTAACAACTTTCCAATAACTATACATAGATAATTGAATGTCTTGGAAGATCTTTCCTAAAATAATCCAGTTGCATCCACCATATTAGCTTTTTTAACAGGTATGAGGGGATATATGAGGTTGAGGGTATGCATTATGTAATCTGGTCAGTGTTGTAATCAGCTCAGTCTAGGACTCACTCTCTGAAAGAATAATTAGGCCTGGGACAGCAGCTGTGGACATAGGTGTTAAGGTGCCCATACACCTTACGATTATCGGCCGATTTTTGTATGCAATCGCGTTTTCGTCCGATATTCTTAAGGTTGATGGGCAGTGCACAACCGGAAATACTGTACAATCGATCGGCTTTTGACTTACCAGCAGGTTAGAAAACCTTGGTCGATCATATGATTTGCGCAAGGTTGGTGGTGTTTCCGTACGTCAAAAGTTGTACGATTAACACTGCTCTTGCGCAATGAAAATACGTGCGGTCGATTACCGCAATTCATCCAGGTGTTTTCTATTAACTGCCGCTGATTGAACCTTGCGATAATCAGGGCATGATGGGGCCGCCGTACGACGGTCCGATCATCGGACGAAAAGTTTTGTACAATAATCATAAGGTGTATGGGCACCTTAAGGCCTTCATGGAGTATATAACCATTTGAGGTTACAGCATTGGATGTAGTATGAAGGGAATGTAAGCGATTGGAGGTAGCAGGATATGGAGGAGTTTCTTGGGCCAGCAGGTTAGTATAGGGAATTCCATATGTTAGAGACTAGGCAGTGTCTGGCAAACATTCCCAACTTTCCAGTTTAGTTTTGTTAATAGTTTCTAATAGTTTTTCTAATCAAATCAGTGAGTTTTTTTGTTTTTCATTTTGTTGATTGAGGCAGTTTGATAGTGTTGTATGGTCATTAAAGGCAATACGCTAAGTTAAGGTGTGGTGGCACTGGGTAGCCTATTAAGGTATGGAGTCACATTTTAATAGGTTGTTAATTTATTTATTTTGTATACCTTTCTATTTGTGGTAGTGTTTTGTCAATGTTCTTGAGGTGGTGTGGTGGGGCTGGGAGCCTGTGGTATTGATGGGTAGACCCAGGCTAGTTTCTTATGCTACTGTATATGCCTGCAAAGACTTTATCTATGTTGTTATTATGTACTGTATGTTACTGAAACACACTTATCATGAGAGGAACATATAGGTTGGCCTCTGGAAAATGCTAGTTGCTTGGACAATTTCTACCGTTAATTGTTTTGAATCACAGAACAAAGAAAAAAAGGAAAATCTTTAGGGGGGAATTTATCAAAACTGGAGCAGACAAAATTTGGAGCAGTTGCCCAAGGCAACCAATCAGCTTCTCTCGTCAGTTTGTTCAGTTAAGGTTTTAAAATGACGGAGAGATGCTGATTGTTTGCCATGCACAGCTGCTCCAGATTTTATCTGCTCCAGTTTAAT